AAGCACTGCCACAACTATAAATTTAAATTGTACGAAGGATACGCTCCGACACAGAACCCAAATATTTAACACACACAATTAAAATACGACAGCATCGACAAAAATCAGCCAGAACCAACTGACATTCTAAAGCATCGAGTTTGACCCTTTTCCAAGCCATTGAATTGATTTCTGACTGCCTAACACATTGACAACAACCGTAAGGAGGAAATGCGTTAGAGAGAGCGAGAGATATAGAGAAAGAGAGAGAGAGAGAGAGAGATAGAGAGAGAGATAAAGAAAGTGTGTGGAAAATGTGAGCCGGCAAAATGGCAGCAGCAGTTTGAGTTGAACGTCTGCTTTCTTAGTTGCCATTAGGGACTTGAGTTTGTGATTGGAAAATCTATGATGATCATTAATAAAAACAAGAGGACATTTTCGAAAATGCCAAAACAATAACAAAAAGCTAACGACAGGATAGGACCACTCTAATCAGGTCACAACGTTAGCAAATTCAGATGCAGATGCTGCTTATTATTCTTGTGCTTGAGACTGGCTGCTGCTCATGCATTATACGCACCACTTTAGTCCTTGTAAATATTATTTTAATATCTTGTCAAGCAGCCCAGGCCCAACCTCTCCTGCACACACATTCCATCGAGTTGCTGTTCTTGGCTTGCTCTTAGCTGTTGGATGTTGGCTCTTGGCTGGTTTCTTGCTGTTTTCAAACTTTGTGCAACAAACAATGCTTCATTATAAGCTTCAGTGCTGAGGCCAGAGGTGATAAGCCCTGCCAGAGTCAGGCACGGCTAGGCAGCCAGGCAACCAGCCAGTATCGTATAGAAAACTTCATTTTATGCTTTTAGCTTTCACAGTCTCACACACACACACACACACACACATGGCACTTGCTTATACTTTGTATGAAATTTTACGAATATTTCATAATACGAGTTATGTGAGTGAGTGTGTTCTTGTCGTGTTTTGTCGTGTCGAAACGTATCTCATGTTTTGTCAGACGAAGTGGCTATGGAAAGACAAACAAACCAAAACAACAACAAAAGCGTTGCACAAAAATGTTGTCAATCAACTTTAAGGATAACAGCATGCACAGAGAACTGATGAAGACTAAAGACAAAGGCCAGAAACTTTGCAGAATGTCATTGAGATGTTAATTCAAAAGGTTTGAAAAGCCGACACACAAATTGAATGCTTAGCTATTTTCTGTCAAAATTAACATGTATAGATTTAAATTAAAATTTGACAAAATTAACAAATAAATCTTAAGTCACTTATTTAGTAATTCCCTGAATAAGCCATTTTCAAGCAATTAATTGCTAGAAAGAATGAATTTGAATACAAAAAGGTGCAGCTTGCGGGCTGACAATAACTGAAACATTATTTTCTTTGTTCGTATATTATTGCAATCCAGTATTTGATTAACTTTTCAAAAGTGTCTTACAATTATTAATTAATTAAACTGTTAGTGCTTGCCTTTTTTATGTTACGGACAAAAATGGATTGACATACAATCAACTCAATAATAATTGACAGTATCAAAAGGTTTGCTTATACAAAAGGAAAAATATAAAAGAGAATTGATTGTTTTGATATATAATAACGGACCGAGAGCAATTTGATTGTTAATCATGAGAACAATTGAAGCACTTTCTGATTGAAGCATATTAATGAAGAGCATTAAAAATAATCAACACTGAAATGTGGAGAAAACAAATATGACAGCTGCGCCGTCACTGCCAAATACACACACACACACACACTTAAACACACACTCGCAGTAGCCACATTTCAATTTTCGCCATGTGCGATATAATTTGCTTGGATAATTTATATGCATGCCACGTTGCGAGCTGCGAGTATAGAAGATGCTCCCACAACAGTTCAGCTTTAGCTTCAGTTGCTGGCTGGTCTCGAGTGCGAAATGAAATAAATTTTGCAGCATCATTTAAGCTTAATTAAGACGGCGGCCGCAACCGGCGTGAATGTTGCTGGCAACAAAAGCCGCGCGGTGCATTGCGAAGCATATAAATAAATGAGCAACTGAGTGGTTGAGTGGTTAAGTGGTTGCCAGGAGCAACATCCAGCAACAGCCAGCAACATACAGCAGCAGCAACCACCGCATTCACAAGCGACGTTAAGGTGTCGAATGCATATGTGAGTGGCTGTCAGCGTGTCGACGTCCAGTTGAACTACAAAATGAAGAGACTGTGGACGATAGACTACAATGACAGCTCATCGAGTATATATTCAGCTGTTTCATTTGATTTTCAGCCAACTCATGTTTGCCACGCATAAAACTACTTAGACAATGTCAAAAGGTATCATTATTTATGCTGGCGTGCACAGCAGCAACAGCAGCATCAGCATCAGCATCCACTGCCAGTCTGATCAGAATAGCGCTCGTCATGTTGCATTAGTAGCAAATTAATGGCAACAGGGGCAGCCCACTCTCAACCCACACACATTTCACAAGGCAGCTTAATTTCTGGCGCCGCATGTTGATTTTTAATTACTAACACACACACACTCACACTCAGATACTAGACGTCAAAGCCAATGAAGTGTGCCGGAATTGACTACAAATTCAATGCCATAAAATACAATTAAATATGTCTCGAACTTGAGACCCGCCCCATAAGCAGGCAATTAGCTTGGCAGCGAATTCATTGAGCCACGAGTTCAAAGTGTTGCACACTACGCATCATTTCAAAGGCATAGAATCAAATTTCTGTAGGCAGAAATTAACCATATAATAAACGACAAGGAAGTTTGCTTGACTAACTTGGCGATGGTCCTTTGAAGTGTTGGATAAATCTTTTCTATGTTAGCAAATTACTGTAATTATTATCAAGCAATGCTTTACAAAATTCAGTACAAGCTTATTTACTGTTGAGTTTGCAGGGTATACGGAAATAAACCCAAAAATAAAAGCCTGAAAATTGCAAAAGTTTTCTTAATTGCTGAACGCCGACGTCCTGCGCAAATTAAACGCAAGTATGCAAAGTCATTGTATGAAAAGGGATGACTGCCAGCCACACAGCCACACAGCCATACAGTCAGTCAGTCAGTCGGCGGGCGTGCCCAGCCTGCGTAATGATTAAGCAAACACTCAATCACCCCTGCCCCTCGGATACACATACACACCCCTTCACACACATGGGCCTGAAATGAAGCACATTCAGCTGGGGCAATTGAGATTTTTTTTCCTTTCGCCCTTGCTTTCTGCTCGACAAAGCACTGGTTGACTTTAAAGTCGCCTGCTTGCCTGGCAGCGTGTACAACAAATCGTAGCATACTTTTATGGGCAGCTGTAGTTGCAGCAAAAGTGAACGCAATATTTACTGGAAAGTTGTGCAATTTTCTGTGTCAGTGGCATTAAGCGTATTAAGCTTAAACATCTATCATGTATATGACACGCCCCATTGCCGACCGCCTGCATTCAGCATTCAACTCATGCATACAAATGCGCGTCATATGCCGGCAACCTTTTGTTTAATGAAGCCGAAGTTGTAGGACGGCCCTTTATATATATATGTGTGAGAGTGTAAGCGTTGAGAGTGTTTCTATAAGAGTTCGTGTGTGTGTGTGTGTGTGTGTGTGTGGGCTTGCATGTGGAAAAAACAGTTTTCGAATGAATGCAAGTTTTAATCCTTGAAATATGATTTGAGTGCAAATATTTTTGCATAACCATGAGCTCGACTCTTCTCCACACAGTCACTTGCGGTTTTGCCGCTATGCTTGCCTCTCTATGTGTGCGCATGTGGATGTGTGTGTGTGTGAGTGAGTGCGCGTTTGAACGTGTGTGTTTTGCCTGCCTCACATGTGATGTAAGCAGTGACACAATTTCGTTTCTCGTCTTATGCGTGTGTCTGTCCGTGTGTCTGTGTGCACTTGTACTTGCCAACCGCAAACACTTCACTCGCTTGAAGGCTGAAGGCTGCCCTCCGCCAGGTCGGGCCAACAGCTACTACCTTATAATATCCCCTTATCCGCCTGCTCTCTTACCTTGCCACATGCGTTCATTTTTGCAGCTGTCTGCGGTTTTGAAATGCATTTCAACCATCTCTCCACCTGTCCACCACTCCACCATTTTACTGTACAGTGGCCAGCGCTGATGCGCTTATATATTCAGTGAGTGGTTCATTTCTAAATTGAAACTAAAGAGTTGCCAGTGGCTACCTCTGTGGCCACTTGCGCACCATTCGACCATACTTCCTGCCAGCACGTTAATGAACAAAGTTCCTGTTTGGGGCGGGCTTAGTCGATGACAGAAGTCAAGCTGACGTGCGTTGTCAGGACTCGAAAGTATGTATTCCTGTGCTGAGCATCTGCCTGACATTTATAGCGTACATTTTTTTAGTATTTCAGTTACGTATTTTTTGTTGTATTTTTTTTTTTCTTTTTGGTGCCTGCAATCAAAAATATTTTTTCCGGTGAAAAGTTGCAGTACCATTTTTTGATTGTTGGCTGCTCTACTTTTACCATGAGTTTTAAATGTTTGCCGACGAACGCGGTGAAAAGATAAAATGCAGGAAAAACCCACACACGGAAAAATAACTATTTCCACATTGTGTCTCTCCAAATATACACATTTGGAATTTTTTAACATTTTTATTTTTTTTTAGCAGCACAACTCTTCGCTCGCGAGTTTAAAGGTAAATCACAGAATACTTGAAGGAAAAAATTGATTTGTATCAACTGAAATTTAAAAAACTTCAAAGTGATTCTAAATTAAAAACCAAGACAATATGTGATCAAAACAACATGCCGTCTTAAATTGCTTTTGTTGAAAGCTCTACTTATAATGGAGCACATTTCATTTAATTTGAAACAAAAAAATGAGAATCACAGGAGTTTTTTGCTTTTGTAGTGCGCAGCAACATCTAAAAATAAAATGTGTTCTTTAGGTATAAATTTCTTTGTAATGAGATCTGAAACCGTAACGATTTATTTCTAATTATAATTCAATGTTTCTTTTGCTTGTGTTGAATTCGCTACAGATATGACAAATGGCGGTGTGCATGGACCCATCGAGGGCTACAACTCGCTAGATGAGATGACTACGACACCGGGAGCGATATATACGATGCCCACCGCTGCCTATACGCATCCCAAATGGATGGAACCATACTTTGATCCCTCAACGCCCCGCAATGTGACCGCCTTGATGGGCAAATCCGCATATCTCAGTTGCCGTGTGCGCAATTTGGCCAACAAAACGGTGAGTAAGAAACGGCTGGTGACTTGGAAAGTTTTTCTCCTGTTCGTGACGATCCGCTTAGACTTTAAAATTTTTGACATTACCCCGCTCTCGCATTCTTAACTGCCTTTTCCCAACTGTTAGGTTACTCTCCATGCGCCTTGCCGTTTTTGTTGTTGTTGACTTTGTTGATTTGCCAACCTAGTCGACTGTCGAGTCGCGTTTGCCAAAATGTAATTCCCCTAGCATGACTGCCAAATTTTTAATTAGTTACACGCCCCCGTCCAACAAAATGGGCTTCTATTTTTTTCATTTGTATTTTGTGTATTGTCTGCTGTGAACGTGCTGTGTGCGCGGAACTGGCTGTTGAGGGAGCGGTACTTGTGCGAGGACCTTTTCTTGGGCGCCTACCGTCGTCCTAAGTCGGCATTAAGTTGTTTTGTTTTGCTGAAATTTTTGTATTCTGTTCTGCAAACGCGACTGTTATTGCAATTGTTTTTCTTTGTTTATCTGCTTTAATTGCGTCCCCGCCACGTTGGCCCATCTATTAAAGAGACACTCTACCCGGGCAACGATGCTCCCTTGGCAACCTGCTGTTAACTGCTGCTCTTGCTGGGAGAATAAGTGAGAAGGCGCTCCATTTAGATTGTGAAATACTCTGTATTTAGATTGTTAGAGTTGTGGACAGTCATTTATGTCGAGTCTTTTAAAATTTTCCATTCATAATTTTTCTATTCATATTTTCCATTTCCATTTTGATTTATCTGATTGACTTTCAAGTTCACTGTTACCCTTTTTCTTACCTTTTTATGGAGAAAATAATTGGTGTATATATAAAGATTTTGTTTTTAAATCAGACCCAGAATGAATTTTATGTAATACAGGGTATATTGACCCAGTCTTCTCACCTAAGGACCAAATATATGCATACTCATATGGGGACAAACAGCTCTTGACAACAATTTTAATTTGCCTTCTTTGTAACATTTAATTAGCAAAGGACTGTAGTCGCTTATTATTAAAATGATATTTTGCGAACTGAATGTGTCAGGAATGCCGCCTGGTCGTGACAATTTTTATCGGCGTCTACCGAACTTTTTTAATATGCGTGACGGACAAGTTTATGAATAATTAAACACACCCAAAAGTGTTGCGCACTGCGATTAATCACTGAAGAGCACCCTACCCCAATGCCCCGAGATGGCATGGTGTTATGCTGCTGGAATCAGTTTGGTTGAAAAGATTCGAACGCTCATTAACAAACAATGCAAGACATGCTGCGCAAAAGCAAACAAACAGCAATCGCTTCAAATGCCAAAAACCAACAAAGTTTTACGCACACACCCTGAACTACCGACATACTTGACTCAAATGGAAACTGTAACAACGGCACTAACAGAAATAGGGGATGAAAGGGGAGCAAATGCAGAAGGGGCACTTGCAGCAAACGGGAAACTTTTAATTTCTTGCCAACACACAAAAGCGACGAGTTGGCGGCCACACGTCAGCGACTAAAGTGAGCTGGGCAAGACCCCTTTAAAAGCAGGGTTAGAGCAGTGGTGGGGAGGGGGGTCTACAAGGACTATTGCTACGACAACTCCAAGCACAACTACAACACTTGCAATAGCATTGAAGCGTAAAATTATTTAAACAATTTTCGTTGAAATTGCACTCGCCGCACGCGTCAACACACTTGGCGGTGGCCAAGCCGAGAATGCCAAACAACAAACCCGTAACCAACTCAGCAGGATACGTTGTGTCAGAGTGTGTGTATGTGCATGTAATTGCAATATTGCACTAGAGGCGTCGCTGCTAATATCCTAGTGAGAAATGGAGGAAACTGTCGAATGAGTGCATGTGCGTGTGTTGTTTGTGGTTTTTGTAGTTGTTGTTGCTATTGTTGTTGTTGTCGCACAGTGTGCACTTGTTAATTACACTTTAATTTGTTGCGTAAAATGTTTGTTTAATGGCGGTCCTTGTCGACATGTTTTTCACACTTTTGTATACAGTCAATGACGTCGACATTTTGGGTTGCACCCAAAAAAAACAAGGAGGGCGTTCCCCAACCCGATGTGTGGCAGCTCATTGTTTAGTATGCAACAACATTTCGTATAATTAAACGCACGCACCCAAAAATTTTAGACACGCCCAGTCAACTTTATTCAGTCAAGTTTTTGGCGTGCACAGCGTGTGGCAAGTGCGATAATTTTGCATTTACATTTGACTTAATAAGTTGCGCATATCAAGTGCCAGAACGAGCCACACATGCGATAGAGACAGACAGTCGAGCGAGTGAAAGAGAAGAGGTGAAGTGGCGAAGAGAGAGAGAGATGAGTTGGTGGTGGAGGAAGTGATGTTTAGAAGGCAGCTTACAAAGTTGCATCTCAGCGCAGCAACTACTTAAAAACTTTGTTATAATTAAGCAAAAGCTAAAAGCAACTCAAAACTCACCAGCAGCCAACCCCAAAAGAAGATCCACTGAGTAATGACTAACGAACACTAATGCATACACACAAATACCCACACGGACACGAACACAAACATGCCTTCGCACAAAGATAGCTTTCTTAGGGATTACAGTCCCCGAAAACTTTCCAGCTCATGCGTAACACATCAAGTTGCTCAAACGTTATGTGCACCGGGCCAAGGTCTGCGGCCAAGTTGATTGCACAGGATGAGATACGCGCCCATTAACAATGCGAGGAATACACGCATTGCTGGCTGATTAATCGCTAAAAGGTCCTTCAAACGATACGCACAGGATGATGGACCTGCACAATGGGACTCCTTGCGCACTTCATTCGAATTTGATGGCATTGCGACGGCAATTCAGCTTTCAATTGCTGCATTTTTAATGCCAACATTTTACCTCGGGCCATAAAGCAAGAGATTTCTGGGTTGCCATATGCCCTGTATCCTGTGGCTGAAAAGGGGTATAACGAGACGAAGACCAACTAAACCAGAAAGATTGTTGAAGAATTTTTGCACCAGAAATAACAAAACTTTATCGGAAAAAAAAACTAATCAGCTTAGAAATGGAAATTGAATTTTTCTTCTTTGATTTTTCTTTGAATTTCAAAATAATAATTTAATCTAATAAATAACAATATTTATTTTAAGAATTCAACTCAGCTGGTTTTTGGTTGCTGGCACATCCCTCCTTTGCTTAAAATCTAATTTAGTACCGCCTGGTCAGAATCTCCAATATTTTCGCGCTCACACCAAATTGCCTTTAGGTTATTTTGACGTGGAAAACATGGAATGTTATGCGATATCCTTTTGCCACATTTAATTGACATTTTGTGAAATTTCTTTGTTTGTTTGTGTGTGTGGCAGGTATCCTGGATACGGCATCGAGATATACACATATTGACGGTGGGCTCGTACACGTACACGTCCGATCAGCGGTTTCAGGCCACACATCATCAGGACACCGATGACTGGACGCTACAGATAAAATGGGCCCAGAAGCGAGATGCGGGCATGTACGAATGCCAGATATCAACGCAGCCCGTCCGCAGCTATTTCGTCCGTCTCAATGTTGTCGGTAAGTATGCGTTTGAGTGCGAGCTTGAGTTTGACTTTGAGTTTGAGTTTGTAAGCTTGAATTTCACATTGGCGTTGGAGTTGGAGTTGAGAGCAGTGACTTTGGCTTTGGCTTCATAAAAAAATCAACCATTTGTCGCAAATAACAAAAGGCAAAGGACACTCGCCAAAAAAAAAGTTGTTGAGCAAATAAATTACAGCAAACGAGTGAACAACACGCACAGTGGCATCGGCGACGACGACGACGTCGGCAGGAGGGCGTCAAGTAACGTCGAGGACTTGGTTTTTATACGACAATAATTTCATTTTATCTTGTAGTTTATTATTCTACAGTGTCAGCCAGAGGCCTGCCTGCCTGCCCGACTGCCTCCTGTGTGAGCCTCCTGCCAGCCTCCGCCTATGTCAGCTTTTCTGTGTCTGCCTCGTTTTACCCGCGTTTTTCAAGCATTTCTTCTACTTATTCCCATCTTTTTTCTCTTCCATTCTTTTTTTTATTTTTTGGTTACTCGTCGTCTGCACTTTTCATTGGTTTTCACTGTTGACAGTGCCAACGGCGACCATACTTGGCGGACCTGACCTTCACGTTGATAAAGGCAGCACCATAAATCTCACTTGCACTGTAAAGTTCAGCCCCGAACCACCGGCCTACATATTCTGGTACCATCACGAGGAGGTAATTAAACTTTATTGTTACAATTTTCACGAAAATGCGTTTGATTTTTTTTTCTTCTTTAGTTGTAACTTTTGTAGTTTTCGGCAGTCAAATTGGCAATGAGTGAGCCTTGTAGTTAATTAATTTGATTTGCATGGTTTTAAGTTTTGCCATAGCACATTTAATTAGCTACAAATATAAAAGTTCGGTAAGAAAAAGATATCATAGCCCTTCAAAAGAGCTTGAAGGTATAAAATGTCCACAGAAATAACTTTGAAAAAAGCGGAGTCGACCATGGCATTTTGATTATGGTCCTTTATTTCAATACTGCCTTCAAAGTTGAAAACACGACTTTGACTCGAAATTCATAGTCAAACTCTGCGCTCAAAAAGTGCTTTGAGGGTTTAGTCAAAACTTTCCACAGTCATAACTATGTCAAAACTTTATCCGTTTTCAATGACCACGGATTTTTTACCATGGTTCGAGCTGTAGATTAATACTGCATTCATAGTTGGATTCACGTTTCTGACTCAAAATCCATGTTCAAATTCTGCACTCCAAAAATCAACTTTTTTTATGTCTTTTTTAGAGAAAATTAAAGAAAGCCCTATACTCAAACATAAGAAACCCATAAATTTTCACGACCTTTTTATTAATCTAAATCGTTCGTAAAGCAAATGGGCGTAAACTTAATTTCGTTATATCGAACAATTTGCTAAAGTGCCTGTTTTCTGGAAATTCAACTGATAGCAAATATGTTATCAGCAACTACATCGCAAGCAGCACTCAGATCACGCAAGCTGAATCCCTTAATGCCTTCCATTCAACCGGAGAAGCAACTCTCGTGCGTGGAGCTTATTTGCAAGCCGTCGTCGTTATTTAAAGTGTCAGCTGTTGATACTTTAATAAGTAAATCAAGGCAGTTGCAAGCACAATCGCATGTCCTGCGTGGCGTGCGTGGCAACCGCGATGTGGGTCAATGTGGCACGCCAAATTAATACTTTAAACAGCTGAGCGAATCACAGAAAACAATTGGAGCTAAACAGCTTGGCCAATCCAGGTGGCTACATCATACCTAAACCGTTGGCCATCAATTATTTGTGTTAGTTTCAAGCGACTTAAGCAGCATAAGCAGCCTGGCTAATTGTGCAGCATTAAAAGCGCTTAAGTCGCAACAGGATTTGTGCCAGCTGCAAAGAGAGACGGCGCGAGAGCGAGAGAAAGAGAGAGAAAGAGTTTATCCGAGAAGTAGTCGTAACAGTTACAGGCTAATTGCAATGCAAATGCCAAGTAAAACACCGACGAAAAAATCGTGAATGTAAAAGAGTGGACGCCAGAAGGCAAAGAGAAGGCGACCCTGTTGGCAACGTGTTAAAAGTGCACAAATCCTGCTGTCAACGGCTTTTGTTGCTGCAATCCTTGGTGCTGTTGCTGCTCACTTCTTGCTGCCACTTTTATTTCTGGAATTTTCTAATTAAAATCCTTGCAGCTCAGCCAAGAACCACGCGCCACAATTGTGTGCCTCTGGGCAGGTGCAGGTCCCTACATGAATGTCAATGTGTGCGGCGTATAAGGGAGTGTGCGCGTGTATGTGTGTGTGTGTGTGTGTGTGTGTGTGTGTGTGTGTGTGTGTGTGTGTGTGCAGCCGCAACCATATCACAAGCTACCGTCCTTGTCCATGCTGCACACGGATTATTTACGATCCACGCAAATTTGCTGTTAATTAGTTTAATGGATGGATAAACTTAGTTGATGCACTTGCTGTTTCTACTCATTCTCTCAAGCACTCGTTGCCTCAGTGGTATGCAGCACTTTTCTTATTTATTTTATTTTTTTTTGCCTGTCACTCACATCCCCCTGCTAATTGTAATTAACGTTACATATTTTCTCTTGCGCGCTCAACACTGTTCACGTTAATGGCCCGGGTCAACTCTTTTGCTCCACCTTTGCTGGCCACTTCCGCGTTGACTTCTAGCATGTGTCCGTCTGCCGAGAGGGTCACTTAATGAATCCCTTCGTAAGTTGTTCTTAGTAAGTTAAAGGGATATAAAAATTAAAAATGCCGGGTGTGCAATTGTAGACTGTAGGTATATAAACTTGTATCTACAGAGTAGAAAATGTACACCAAGTGTTGCCAGTGATTTTGTCTCGTATTATTTAAATTGCCTTCATCTTCTCGATATCTTATTAATGATAGATGCTTGATCAATTAGATAAATTAATTGGTATATGGTGTTTTATTGAATCTATATAGTTATAGTAAAGTAAAAGTCTAAAATCTTTTCAGCGGAACAAGCACCATTCCCGAAGACATCATCAATTATCGCTTAATTGTGCGACGGGTGAAAGTGATTTAGTCAGCTATTAGCTGTCTGTCAAAGCAGTCTTTACGTTAAAAGTATACAAGTGTCAGCAGTATCAGATGCGACTGACACTCGTCCCATATTGTTGTGTCCTGTGTGACAGACTTTTATGCACATTTAACATCTGAGTTTTTTATATGCTCGATTATTTTGTTGCACGGTGCCGGCGACAAATGGGATATGGAACATATCTCGCATTTTTACTATGCATTCGTTTTCACAAATATTTCATTTTAATGTTGCTTTGCTGTTGCCAAGAGCTGCAATTGCTTGGTATATGAAATTTTACATTTTTGATGCAGCTCAGTCGCAAAATGCTTTTCCAATTTACGGATTCACTGGCTGTCAGTTACCAGTTGCCAGTTGCCAGTTGCCGTTTACCAGTTTACCAGTTTACCCATTCACCCCTCGGCCAGGCTGTCACTGTAAGCCGTCGCTTTCATTAACCAATTTGCCAGCAAGCAAGCAAGAACAGCAAGAGCAACAGCAACAGCAACAGCCACAGCAACAACAAATTATAATACAAATACGGAATTTATGCTGATAGCGATGACAGCAATGGACTATAATGACAACCAGACTTTCGTTAGTTCCGCTCCCTGATAGGCAAACTTTTTACTTGTGCCTGGGCAAAAAGTTGTTATGCCAAAGTTTTTGGGCATTGTCATTGTTTTTTATACTCGTATATCGAGCATATCTACAGTTTCATAGCGCCAATATATACATATATATAGCTATTGCTGGATGTACGTTACGTTTCCCTATCGTCATCATTATCAGTGACGCCAACTTTTCTTTCATTTTTCATATTATTGCAAATGCCGTCGATTAGCTGAGATTATACAGCAAATTATGCGCCCTCCAGCTACAAATGCTATCACATCCAAAATGGGGGCGTAGACAGCTGCTTACTTCCGTTCTACTCTATACTGTCCTCTGTTCGTTTGTTGCTGCCTCCATTTTCTTGTCGCTGTCAGCGGCATGATGTGTTAATGTCAGCTACTTGCTCTCTGCTCTCTGCCCTCTGTCCTCTGTCCTTTGTCATTTGTACTCCTATTCTCCCTGCCCCCCACTCTGTGACTCTCTGAACTTTCTGTATTGGTATTGGAAAATTATTCTGGTATTTGTTTTTGTCGTCGCTTTGAGCATCTGCCTCATTTTGTGACTCAATATGCAGCTCGATTTGCCCTGCTGCTATTAGCAGCAGTCGACATTTGACATTTGTGCCCTTCTACTACACTCGGCGAAAAGGGATACTTTGCAACCATATCTATATTCTTAAAATTTCGGTGTACATCTCTAGAGCTAGAGCTCGAAATAAGTAATAAGCGTAAAAACAACTATATTCAAAATAACAACAATGCTCCGAAAATGATTGTTTGACCATGTTGATCACAACATTCCCTCATTTCTCTGCGTGTACCAATCACATTAATCGATAATGAAGTTGAGTTTGATGCTGCTAATACGGCTGCTGCGTATCTATCTATCGCACAGAGTGCCATCATCATCATAATGAAGCAGCCAGCGCTGTTACCACTTGCTTTTAGCCTAAGTAAACCGATGTTGGCCTCTGCTCTCACTTGATTAACATAATTTTTGTTACTTATCGCCGTCTCCCTCCAGCGCGCTTGAGTCTTAAATAACCTTTCAGCTTTCGTTAAGTCAACTTTAATCGGGCACCCAGCCATTAAATTCCAATTAAAATCGCAATTTAAAACGCATTTCCGGGGAAACAAGGGCCTGACACCATTGAAAAGTAAACAAGAAGCGCTGACATGTTTCGCTGATTTGTAATGTCTGTCAAGAGCAGCTGTTGTTACCCTATGCCCCTCTGCATCTCCCTCTCCCCCTCCCTCTCCCTGCCACGTATGCTGTCACACGCATTTGAAAATTACGAAACAAAAAACGCATATGAAATTTGAGCATCCGCGTTAAACAACAAACAAGCGGGCGAAGCACTCGCTTATTATTATTGTATGCCACCATCAAAGTTATCCAATAAGAAAAAAAACATTTTCCTGCGCCACTCATTGTTCTCACATTATGCTGCTGCTGTATGTAGGTGGGGAGAGGGGTAAGAGTTTTGATGCCTATGCTATGACTGCCGTTACTTACCCCAATTTTTGCGTAATGCTCTTCCATTTGCAGGTCATTAATTATGATTCATCAAGAGGCGGCGTGTCGGTAATTACCGAAAAGGGCGATGTGACAACCTCATTTCTGCTCATACAGAATGCAGATCTGGCCGATTCCGGCAAATACTCATGCGCCCCCTCCAACGCAGATGTGGCCAGCGTTCGTGTGCATGTTCTAAATGGTAAGTACCATCACCAGCAACATTCACTACAACGACAACTACCACCAAACACTACCACACTGCAACATAACGGCACACATACATGCACACACCAATTTATAAAGCATTCCTCTACATATTCACTAATGTATGCACCATAGGCTGTATGAGTGTGTGTGTGCTCTCTGCCAAAAGTGTTGCATGCCACTAGGCGCTGCAACTAAAACAATGCCAGGAACATATTGAACACAATGCTGCTAGACTGTAAAATGTCCTGGAATCAATTTCATCTTTCATGAACAAATTTTAAAAGATTTTCAAAAGATATTCACCAAAAAGTCTCTTTGTGGTTTCTTTTAAATAATATTTAATAACTCAAAATTAATTACAATACAAGGACAACACAACTCATTTGATTGATTCGTACGTCGAGCATGTTTCTCAAGCTTTTTTTATGTCTAGATTTATTTATTCACATTATAGAAAATTAAAGTTTAAAATTAGATTATATACAATTAAAAGACAGAACTAAATTAGAAGTTCAAAATCAAATAAAAAGTAAAAAATAAAAAAAAGAGATATAATAAATCTTTGGTTATTAAAATGTAAAGTGGTCAAAAATGTATTTTAAGGATTGGGAAAACAAAAAAAGGCGACCCAATTAGACCGAAATTTTGTAAGCATTAAGCCAATTGTGGAAAATATAAACTTTAAGATAAGGGCAAAAAGTGGGGAACAGAATAGAGACAAAATGGTGCAATTTCTCATAGGTTTCCTGGAGATATATTAGTATTGAAAATTTATTTGAAAAGAAGCGAGAGTTTTCAGCTCGGATTAACAAGCCTTTACTAAAAAATGACAGGGTAGCAAAGTAGCACAAATTGATAATTGTAAAAGCGTTACATATTAACTGCCAAAGTGCCTCTGCCGGCTGCAGTAGTAATGTTGCATGTCTCTCTCTCTCTCTCTCTCTGCCTGTCTCTGGGTCAGGTCTCTCTGTTGTTTTTTGGAATTCTAGCAAATTTGTGTGCGATTTCCAAAGCTTTCAATGTTTGCCCCGCCATGGGGCATCCAAAGCGCCAGGCGACATGTTTTTGGGGCCTGCGGCAAAAGGCAATTGCAAAACTGTATCGTACCTGCACCACCCGGGTGGGTCAGTTTATGAAGTCAAACGGTGCGACGATGTTGCATGTTCCTGTCAGGTGATTGACGTTGCCCCAAGCGCAGCCAACAGCGAGCGGTAAGTGGCAATCGAAATAGCAATGACAAATGTGGCAAATCAGCTTAAGGCAAACGATGCGCACGTGAATAGGGAAATGTTTTCTCAGAAAAGAAAATTAACTAGAATATTAAGAATACTCAGGGGTTGGGGCTGCGGATATTGTTGTCTGGCTGACTGCCACAAAACGATACATCCGCCTTCGATTTGCCACTGTTCTGGCTACTTGAGGCTGGAATACAATAAATAAATTGATACATATATAAATTGTAGCAAGCGCTTTTACAATTTGGCTTGATTTCCACGAGGACTGGTCACAAAGAGATGCATGCAGTACATTGTAAACGTGGCCCCAATATTATTCCACTTGATGTTGCCCCAGGCGCCAGTTGTAGCTTCGTTGTGTTTTTGGGGGCACAAGTGAAACACACATAATCACATCAATTATGAGCAAATTAATTAGCACACTGCGGTTAATTGCAGGCAAACTGAATGGCAGCCCCCAAACATACCACTGGTCTCCAGTGGGGTGAAAAGGGGTGGGTGGCATGAAGGTTGGCCAAAGACGTATCCTTATACAGCATCTGTTGCCGGCGACATTAACAAATTGCAATTGGGAGAGCTGGGAACGACTGGCAAGGAATTGTTGCAATTTGCCAGCATAATCGCTGTCGATTGGCGTAGATTTGACACAGTTAAAATAAATTACGTCATTGTGAAAGGGAAAACAACAATAACAACAAGTGCAAGCCACACAACAATACAATGCCACTGACAGCACACAGAATGGCATGCAATTTAAAGCCGGCATGAGGTTAGAAAGAGAGAGACGGAGAGAGAGAGAGAGAGAGAGCGACAGATAGAGAGAGAGAGGGGTGTGTGGGGCATACCCCTAGCCATCTGGCACGTTTTTCAATCATGCTAACGGCGCCATGGTGACCAACAGGCCCCGCGTCCCCCTATCCCTTAAGCCACTTCCTTTCTCTGGCATGCAGGCTGCAGGCCACAAATGGACCGCAAATGGCAGCATGCGGAAATCCATGCTGCAGCTTTTGTAAACGTTTGCCAGCCATTATGCATGAATGCATAGAAATACATGATGTCACACACACACACACACACGCACGTATACAGGTGAAGAAGGGGCGACACCAAAATAATGAAGTGGCTGGCAATGCAAACGACCCGACATCACACAGGCCACGCGTTTACAATCCAAATACCACAAAAAAACACAATTCTCTACCTTTATTCAATATATCGAATTCCATTTTACTCTGCACTATTTAAGCAATTGATTCTCATTTTCTTTTGTGGCTGCAATCGAATGGAAAACACTATATTTAAAATGTTTACTTGAATATATTCAGTGTTACAAACAGTACTTTATTTGTCAGTCGCATTTGAACAACAAGTTATGCAGCTACATTCAGTATTGAAATCAAAATGAAGCTTATAGAATTTTATCACATTTTTGTGAAATCCTAGACAATTTAATAAAACTACTGTAGCATGTCCATAAAAGAAATGGTTTCAAATATGCAAATTTTGTGGGTTTTGTGTGCACACTGTGCGGTTGCTGTTGCTGTTGCTGTTGATGATGTTGCCCGCGTGTGCGTTGTTGATTGACACCAGCGACCAATGCCGCTTTATGGCAAAGGCGATGACTAACAACAGCGAAAATCAGGCAAACCCTCATTCATGTGTGTGTGTGTGTGTGTGTGTGTGTGTGTGGGTATCTGTCTGGGTTTTGGACCAACAATGTGACTACGATTGCTGACAGGACCCACAATTCTCGCGTTAATGGCATCAGCAACAGCAGCCACAGCAACAGCAACAACAACAACAGCAACAGCAGTTGTGACAGGCAAACAAAACCCAGGCGTTCGTTCGCGTTGACCATCGTAGTACAACAATGGAACGTGGCCTGAACTTGTTGGCCATGACTGACATACACATGCCGGTCATGTCACTACGCATTTGGCATAACAAACTGCAACAATGAGACAGACAGGCCAGGGAGAGACTCTGATAGGGCAGCCAGCAAGGCAAAGACATAGAGGCACACAGCCGAGCAGATATTTCTGGGGCTTATTGGTATCCAAAGTTATGCGAAACACTCACAGACAGAGTGGAGTGATGCAGTGGTGCAGTGGGTGCTTCAAAGTCAATGCGTGCAAGCGTATCAATAGTGGGGGCAAACAATTTCTTGCCTCTCTCCAGCCAGCTGGCCAAATTTACAGCTGTTTCATTTGCAGTCAATGTACGTTTTGCAGCAGTCGTTTTTGAAATCGAATAATTCTCGTTAAGTGCACAGCATTCAGTACACTGTTCAACAAAGCTTCGGGTCTTATTTGTTAGCTTGCACTGATTTACTTTTTCTATTTGCTTTTACCTCGGATTTGCAGTTTTCTCTTCTTTTTTTTTTTTAAATCGTATACAAGTCTCATTTTTCAGTACCTCGTACAATTTATACTTCCTTTCTGATAAATAATTTACAAACTTTTGTGTGCGTCTTCAGATTACACAAACCCATTTATTGTTTGCATTCTTGAACGAAATTTGAAAAAAAAAAAAAAAATGAACTGAAAATACCTACAAAAAAATTACATCTAATTGAGGAGAAAACCAGTTACAAGTTTCTCTCATGCAATTGAAATTGCTTGAAACCAAATGCATTCCACAGCAGAATTTTCGAACCACTGTGTGTTGGTGCCCTGCCAAATGAAAGACTGAGAGATTGAAATGGCTTTGCCTTAATTTCGCTGCCACCTGCTAAATCGCTCTGACTGCTCTTCAATTTGGCTTAAAATTGAGTATAATGAAAATTTGCAAGCGCTGCGTGTTTCAAAGGAAAACCAACCCCCTCCTCCTGTCCTGTTTTGGTCTCCTGATGTGTGCCCCATTCAATTAATGTTTGTGATATTTTAGTAGTTTGGCGCATGTGGCAGCTGTTGCTGCGGTTATTTGTGGCCCACACAGGGTGAGAAGAAGAGCGTTTCCATATTGATATTTGTGTGACAGGGCACAAAGCCTTCAGCCTTCAGATGGCAGTGTAGTTTACACTTGAGAAATCAAACGAAAGCCCCACTGACCGAGAATACATATCGCATACGATGGCAATCACAATCGGGACAAATGTCCTGCCAGCTGCTACTGTTCAGCATCAACAAAACGAACAAGTTAAACTTTCGATTTATTTTTAGCCAGTTTGAAAATTTCTTGGCCATTTGTATGGCGCTTTTGTTGTCTTACCGCGTGTCCTGTGTATTCTGACCTGGCTGAACATCAACTCCCGCCTGCTGCAGCACCACCTGCACTACGCTACGCTCTCCCAAGCACCCATCAAAATGGCAAATGCCAAATGCCAAGGAACCGTCGGAGACGTAAAGCCTTGACCTGCTGCTGAACCTGCAGCGCCAGGACTTGAAACTGAAGCTGAAGATAGAAGCCTACCAAGATATTGGAATATCAAACAGCAGTGGTGTTCAACTCTTAGTTCTCATGGTTCGCTGCACGTATCGGAGTCACTGGCCAACTTAACCCAACTCTATCCCCTTTCCTGTCAATCCTCGAAGTTCACACAGAATCCAATCCTTTGACCAAGTTTGGCTCAAGCTGCAGCGATATGTGTTTTTGTGCAGGGATTAGCTTTGTATTTTGTCACAGGAAATTACATTTCGCCTTAAGGATGCCGGAGCGCAAAAATTTCGTTCCTTTCATTGGTTGCGCGCGTGTGGTTGTGTTTGTGTGTGTGTGTGTGTGTGTGTGTGTGTGTGTGTGTGTGGGATTGTATGTTCAG